ATGGGCCATTCGACTGCAAGAATTTGATTTCAGTGTCAAGTATCGAAAAGGTCAGTGCAACATTGTGCCAGACACACTCTCGCGTAGTCTTTCAGATGCTGCTTCGTTCCCTCTGATAGCCCATATCAAATCACAGGACTCAGCTACTTCCTTTTCCAGTTTTCCGATAGATTGGTCTGACATTGCTAGAGCACAACAGGACGACTCAGAAGTTCAAGAACTTGCCATTAAAGCCAGGTCACTCACAGATCCTGATCCAACACGTATACATTACTTGTTAAAGAATGGATTTCTTTTCCGTAGCATACCTGATGGACAGAAAGGACCCAAATTACAGCTAGTCATACCTGCTTGTCTACGGAAAGACTTTCTCGCATATGCCCATGATAACCCATTAAGTGGGCACCTTGGTAGGCTTAAGACTCTACTGAGGTTAGTAGATATCTGTTATTGGTCCACACTGCGCCCTGACATCTGGAAGTATTGCAAAGAATGTCAGGTCTGTCAACAACACAAACCCTCAATTTCCAAGTTAGCTGGCCATATGCAGTCAACCCCAGTGGTAGAACCCGGGCATATGTTAGGGATCGACCTTATGGGACCGTTTCCTAAGAGTTCAAAGTTAAATGAGCACCTCCTTGTTGTCGTAAACTACTGTTCAAAATGGGTGGAGCTGTTCCCTCTGCGTGTAGCTAAAGCACCTCAAATCGCTCGCATCTTAATAGAGGAGATCTTTACTAGGTGGGGAACTCCGATGTATTTGGTGTCTGATCGAGGAACCCAATTTACTTCCCAACTCCTTAGTCTAGTGTGCAAGCAATGGAGTGTCATTCAGAAGTTGACTACTGCAGCACATCCCCAGACTAACCTCACTGAAAGGGTCAACCGTACTCTTAAGACCATGATCTCGTCCTACGTTCAAGACCACCATCGGCACTGGGACAGATGGTTGGCAGAGTTTCGTTTTGCCATAAACACGGCTTGGCAGGAGAGCACGGGATTCACTCCAGCTGAAGTCACACTGGGTAGGAAACTGAAGGGACCTCTAGAAAGAGCCATTAATAGACCTCCTGATCCAGACAGTCCGGCGTACCCAGTGTTAGAAAGACAAAAGGAGCTGATAAGAACTGTGCAAAGGAATGTGGAACGAGCTCAAGCAAAACAAAGACGATACTATGACCTCCGGAGAAGGTCTGCTCATTATCAAATTGGGGATTTGGTTTGGGTTCGCACTCATCCTTTGTCACGTGCTAGCGATGGTTTCATGGCTAAACTGGCTGTGAAGTGGAAAGGTCCCGCTAGGATTGTCAAATGTCTTGGCCCTGTTAATTGTTCTGTGGCATTTATAGATGATCCTGATCGTGTTGATACATTTCATGTACAAAATTTGAAGCCATTCCATGGTACTTTTGATAATGTTACCAAATGAGGGGGGATATATGTAACAGTCACAGCTTGTTACATGATTTGATGTATTTCATTTTTAGTGCTTTGTTCATCCTGACCACTAGGGGACACCAATAGCATATCCCTATTTGTGAATAAAAGAGGAAGTAATAGAATGAGTGGTAGATTCGAGCGGAGGAAAAAAACGGAAACAGCAGCGGAGGTGACGTTCTTGAAAAACGAACTGGAAGGAGATGTCGATTCCCAAGGTGGTTGGCAACAGCTGGACTGTGAATGGACAGGAGAGTGTGGAGGGAAGTGACGGATCAGGAAATGAACTAGGAGAGATGGAAGTAGGTGGCGGGATGTATGAAAAATGGGAAACGGCTAGGAATAATAAACGGAAAAAGAAAAGGAAAAATAAAACAGATGAAAGTGACTCAGACAGGGGATCGACTGTGGAGGAGAAGCGGAGGGAGGAGTATGTGGTTTTTGCAAAACTTGTGGACGAAGGGGACTCGTTTGGAGGTATGAATCCAATACAGCTAACGAAATCTCTAAATAAGGAAATTGGTGAAATAAAGAGTGCTAAAGTATTAAGAAATGGAGCACTGATGATTATGTGTAAGGATGAAAGACAGCAAGGGAAAGCAATCAAAATGAACATAATAAATAGAAAGAAAGTAGAATGTTCTATGACTTATAGGAAATTCACAAAAGGAGTCATTACAAGGAAGTAATAGAATGAGTGGCAGATTCAATTTGAGTTGCCTCATGGCATCTGCTGTTCTCTAGAGGGTCCTGGTTTGAGAAACAATGGTTTTGCTGCTCAACCAGGACTCTATGTATCCTACCACTTTGTGTTAATATGTGGAGTGCATAACTATGGATCTTAGGTGCAGTTTTGCAACCGCCTAAGGATTTATTCCAAGGGTTTCTGGCTTACCCCAACAAGGACCACTGCTCCATTTCGTCATTTCATCAGTTGTGTACTGATGTCAGGCTCATTTTGAATAATAAAGTTTATTGTTAAATACCCTGCCTCCACTACATAGGCCTATGTTTGTCACATCATTATAAGTGTTTGATCACCACATTTGAGTTATCGTTGCAAAAAATATATTTATGTATATATATTCTGTTTATATAGGCCAGGGTTCCTCAAATCTTGCCCTGGAGGGCCAATGCGCTGCAGAGTTTAGCTCCAACCCTGATCAAACTCACCTACCTGTGATTTTCTAATGATCCTGAAGACATTGATTAGCATGCTCAGGTGTGTTTGATTAGGGTCAGAGCTAAACTCTGCAGGAAAGTGGATCTCGTGGGCCAGATTTGAAAACCCCTATTGTAGGCTATATACTGTATTATATATACAGTACCAGTCAAAAGTTTGGACACACGAATGGGAAGTGTCCAAACTTTTGACTATACTGTACTATAATATAACCTACACAAAGAATATCGTCCGATATATCGATATCGGTCTTTTTTACTCCCTAATATTAGTACCGGCCCCCAAAAAAACCATATCGGTCGGGCTCTAGAAATAAGATACAATTCTTATTTCAAAATTATTTATTCTTCAGACATTGTTCTTTAAATAAAATAAATATCGGCTGTATACAAAAGTGACTTGTCAACTAGTCAGGTGGTTGATCAACATTTGGTTTTCAACTACTGAAAATGGGTATTATTCAACTATCTGAATATGGAGCCTCATTGACATCCCCATATCTCTGGGACTGACCAATGTAGGGCCTTGCAAATGAAGATTCCAAAAGAAAAGTTTATTAAGAACTAGAATCTAAAACCATATTGCAATATCTTTAATACTTCTTGAGTTATAGGCACGCAAACTTTGGAAAAAAGAATACTTATGGCACTCAGACAGGTATGTTCAATGCAGTTGTTTGGACAGAAGGAAACAAGATACATTTGTAGTTTCAACATTATTTGTTCTTCAGACATTCCTCTTTAAAAGAAAAGTAGTATCATATTTTTGCAAAATTACCCACATTTGGTTTTTGACCACTGAAAATGTGTACAATGTAATTTAGCCTACTCCTGGAGCAATATTGAAATTCCATTATCTCTGGAACCGAACCATATAGGGCCTTACAAAAAATGAAGATGCAAGAAGGGAAGTTTGTTAAGATCCAATATCTAAAAGGGCATTAATATATCTTTAATAATTTTTGAGTTACAGGCATGCAAACTTTGGAGAAAAAAAACTTGAAAAGTGCTCTTTCCCCATTTATGAACGGTCACCATTGGCGCATAATGCAACAAAGATTGGTAAAGTCAACATATTTTACTAGCAGACCTACTAGTCTGTTTACTAATCCTACCAGTGGATTACTCAGGAAATATTCATCCATGACATTTCATATTTTGGATATCATCACTATACATGTTTATCTTTCGTCAGAAAAAAAAACATTAGCAAATTCAAACATTTGAGCTGGGACCTCTGGTTGAATTGACACTGAATGACCCAAGAGAACAAGAAAAATAATAAAGAATTTGAACTTATTCATAGGTTAGGTGTGTTAATGCAGAAGAATAATCCCAGTAAAGAAGATGAGGTAGAATATAGTGTCTGTCAAATGAAAATGTAAAATATGTATACAGAGATGGTTTAAGGGGCTTTCATACGTTCTAAAGCAAAATGGATCAATAAGGGTGAATGAAACACTAATTACTTTTTTGCTCTAGAAAAAATAAATCGAAAAAAAAAAGCTCTCTCTGCCCTAAAGATTAACGGTGATTTATGTACAGATCCAGGCATGATCTCAACTTTTGTATACAACTTTTACAAAGAATTGTATACTTTGTATACAAAAATTTTAATCTTTTCTTTTCAGTGTTTGTGATAAAGTTTCCGGTATTAATGAGGATTTTAAATTACTATGTGACTCTGACCTTTCTATTACTGAAATGGAAGAGGCACTGAAATCTATAAAAAGGTGAAAATCTCCAGGTACTAATGGCCTGTCTGTTGAATTTTATTTACATTTTTGGGACCTCTTAAAGCAGCCTTTATATTGTTTGTTTAAAGAATGTATTCACAAAGGAGAGATGACACCCACAATGAAGCAGGGACTAATTTCTTTGATCCCCAAATCAGATAAAGATCCACTTTTAATTGAAAACTGGAGACCAATATCATTGTTAAAAGTTGATTATAAATTACTTGCTTTAATATTTGCAACTCATTTAAAATCTGGTCTTAATAGTATAATTGGCGGAACACAAATGGGTTTATGAAGAATAGACACATTAGTTCCAATATAAGACTTGTACTTTATCTCATTGACTATTCAGAGAATATTGATTCAGATTCTATTATAATGTTTTTGGATTTTTATAAAGCATTTGATTCATTAGAGCACCAATTTTTGTTTAAACCAAATTTCGGAAATAAATGTATTAACATGGTGAGAATGTTTTAAAATTAGGGATGCCCTATACTGCGCTCCTGTACTCGGTAAAAATGCCCCCATACCAAAAGCCGATACCACACAGAGTGTGAATAGAGCTGTGTCCAGAAAAAAACTGTTGTAGGAAAATTAATGTTTTACTCTTTCTTATTTACTTTCTTAGACATTGTGGGTTTTTATTTATATATATTTTTCTATTTAACTTGTGTTTCTCTCTCAATATGTATATATATGTCACCTGGAATGCAACAAAGACACCACACAGTAAAACAGAGAGCCTTTGAAGTCTTTAGTGCGGGTAATTTAATCAGGAAAGACAGAGGGGTTCATAAATAAAGACCTTTGACCTCACGGGTGTGAAGGCACACAAACACACAGTAAAAAACAAATGATCAGAAAGAGCCTTTGAACTCTTTAGTGCAGGAAAGACAGAGGGGTTGTTGACCTCACAGATGTGAAGATAATAAAAGCCCAGGGGGTTAGAAGGACCATTGTTTTTTCTGAAAACAGCTAGGTTTGGTTTACGGGGTTAAGTGGAAAATTACAGAGAAGGAACCTTGTAAGAAGTGGGGGGTGATAACAGTATAATAAGGCTGTCTGTTTTCAGTGCGATTTTAGGTCTGTTGTGTTTCAGGGTAGCTGCTGAAACATTGTGAACATACCTCTTTAAGGAAAATAAACTTCTTTCCTTAAATATAATTTGATTCCTTGTCTCTTACACTGTGATGCTATTTGTTAATAATTGTTTTTGCCACAACAAAACCCACTGAAAACAGAACAACAGAGAGTAGAATGGAGTTATTAGAGATTAAGGATGTATATGAAGTACATGTAAGTAATTAATATAATGTTAAACATTCAACATTCACTCCTGTATAGCGGATGTGCGCGAGTTGATAAGCAGAGCACGCTGAGTGAATTGAGCGCGCGGCGGCACAGATGCGCGAGCTTGTCGAGCTTATCCGACAGAACTACAAACTTTCCAGTGATGTCTATGATATATTCATATCATAGACATCACTGGAAAGTTTGTAGTTCGGTCGGATATGTCAAAAGCAAGTAAGTAAAACAATGCACAAGTTACTAAA